TTTTTTTTTTTATCTCTTGCTTTCTATCATCTATCTTTTATTTTGCTCTTTATATTATTTATACTTTGGGTTTCTCATAGAAGAGAAGCCATGTGATATTTGAACTTGTGTGTCTGATTTATTTTACTTAATGTTATGATCTCAAGCTGCATCCATTTTTCTATAAATGACTCAAATTTATCCTTTTAATGATGCAATAGTACTCCATTGTGTATATATACCACATTTTCAAAGGACATATAGGTCACTTCCAAGATTTAACTACTATGAGTCATACTGCTATAAATATGGGAATATTTTACCTCGTTATTATGATGTCAAACTCTTTTGGGAAGATACCTAGAAGATAATTAGCTGGTTCAAATGAAATTTCTATTTTTAGTTTTTTTGGGAATTTCCATACTGATTTCCATGGTGGTTGTATTAGTTTACATTCTTATCAACAGTGAAGAAGAGTTCCTTTTTCCCTGCAGCCTCACCAGCATTTGTTTTTCATTTTACTTTATTTTTTGATGATAGCCATTCTTTGTGGAGTAAGGTGAAATCTCAGTATTGGTTTAATTTGCATTTCTCTAATGGCTAGATATTTGAACATGGTATTTATTGACCATTTATATTTCTTCTTCTGAGAAATGTCTATTCATTTCAACTGCCTATTTCTTGATTATGTTTTTTATTTTTTGTGGGGAATCTAATTTATGTTGTTTATATATTCTAGATATTAGTACTCTGTACAAGGAGTGGCTGGCAAAAATTTTTTCCCATTCTGTATGTTGTCTTTTCACTCTATTGGTTGTGTGGAGAAGCTTTCAAATTTGATATATCATTTGTTTATTCTTGATGTTATTTCTTATGCAATTGGGGTTCTGTTCAAAAAGTCTTTGCCTATGCCTATGTCTTCAAGAACTTTTCCTGTTTTATCTTCCGGCAGATGAAGTGTTTCTGTTTTAGTATTTAGGTCTTTGATCCATTTTGATTTTAGTTTAGTGTCTGGTGAGAAATATAGGGTCTAGATTCAATCTTCTGCATGTTTATATTCAGTTTTCCTAGTACCATTTGTTAAGGAGGCTATCTTTCCTCCAGTGTATGTTTTTGGACCCTTTTATGTTTCTGTATCCTCTATTTTGTCCCATATATCTATTTTTATTCTAGTAACATGCTGTTCTTATCTCTGTACCTTTGTAATACAACTTGAAATTTTGGATTTTGATGCTTCCTGCTTTGTTCTCATTGCACAGGGTTGGTTTTGATATTCTAGGTCTCTTCTGGTTCCATATAATTTTTCAGATTGTTTTTCTTGTTCTTAGAAGAAAATTGTTTGTGTTTTGATTGGGGTTGCATTAAATCTATATATCAGTTTTGTTTATATGGCCATTTTGACAATATTTGTTCTGCCTCCAGGAGCAGGAGATGTCTGTTTTTTGATGTCCTCTTTGAACTATTTTTTTTTCAGAGTAATATAGTTTTCATTATAGGGATTTTTTTAACTGCCTTAGGTTAATTGCTAAGTAATTCTTAAAAGCTATTGTGAATGGTATTGTTTTAAAAATGTCCTCAATGGGTTCTTTGTAGATGTACAGGAACTCTCTTGATTTTTGTGTGTTGATTTTGTATCCTGGTACACTGCTGAATTTGGTTAATAATTCTAGAAGTCTCTTGACAGAACTTTTTGGATCTTCTATGTGAAGGATTATGTCATTTGTGAATAAGGATAGCCTGACTTCTTTCTTTCTTATATGAATATCCATTATTTCTTTCTCTTGCCTAATCACTCTAGCTGAAGTTTTGAGTACTATATTGAACAGGAATGGTAATATTGGATATCCTTGTCTTGTTCCTGATTTTGGAGAAAAAGCATTCAGTTTTTCCCCATTTAAAATGATGTTGGCAGTAAGTTTTTCATAAATTACTTCTGTCAGATAAGATAAATTCCTTCCATGGCTATTTTCTTCATGGCTCTTCATGAATAGGTGTTGAGTTTTGTCAAAGTTTTCTTTTTTCTGTGTGAATTGATTGTCCTTCCTTCTGTTTATGTGATATATTACATCTATTGATTTATGGATGTTGAGCTATCCTTGCATCCCTGGGTGATGCCTACTTGGTCATGATGTATAATCCTTGTAATAATCTGTGCATTCTGTTTGTGAGTATTTTGTTAAGGACTTTTCATCTATGTTCACTTAAAGAGATTGACCTTTCTTTCCTTCTTTTTCTTTCTCTGTCTCCCTTTCTTTCTCTTTCTTTCTTTCTTTCTTTCTCTCTCTTTTCCTTCCTTCCTTCCTTCCTTCCTTCCTTCCTTCCTTCTTTCCTTCCTTCCCGCTGTCTTGCTTTCTTGCTTTCTTTCATCTTTGGTTTCAGAATCAAGGTAATACGAACTTCCAGGCATGAATTTGGTGACACTCTTTCCCTTCAATTGCACTGGAGAGTTTGAGGGGTATTGGCATTTGATCTTTCCTAAAGATCTTGTAGGATTCAGCAGGGAGTCTGTCAGGTCCTGGGCTTTCCTTAGTTGTTACTTTAAAAAAAAAAAATTACAATCTTAATTGTATTGTATGTTATTGGACTGTTGAGGATTTTTAATCTCTTCTTGATTCAGTTTTGGTAATTTTTCTGCGTTTAGAAATCTATCCATTTCTTCTGAATTCTCTAATTTATCGGAATACAAATATTTGAAGTAGTTACTAATATTCTGGATTTTGATGGTTTTGTCATTTCACTTTTTTAAAATTTCTAGTTGCATTAATACGGGTCTTTACCCCCTTTCTTTTAGTAAGATTGGCTAAGGATACATCATTATATCAGTTGTTTTTGAGTTTACAAATCAGTTGATTATCTTATATTTATGTTTGTTCATGCAAGGGTAAATCTTATTTCTGAGCTTCTTGGGCTGTAGCTTACAGTGACTTGTTCTATCACTCTCCTATCCATTTTCAGAATCTTACATTCCCTTACACATGGTCTCCTCTGCTATTGTTCTTATAAATTTACACATTAAAAACAGTTCATTTTTTCCCTCCCTCCTTTCTCTTCCCTTCCTGCCGTTTCTCCCTTCCTTCTTCCCTTCCTCCCTTCCATTCTTCCTTCTTCCTTTCTTTACTTTTATTACATTTATAAGATATCTGAAGGGAACGGGAACATATGTGTGTGTTCAGTTTGCCATCTTTCCATGAAATCCTATAGATCTTTAACTGGCTTATATTTCTATAGGTCCTTTCGACTTAACATAGTTTTTTAAAAATTCATTAAGTTTATTGGTACATTTTAGGTATACAATATGATGACATTCATTATTGGGAATTTGTACATTTACATGATATATCTTGGTTCTTATTTTTCCCCCATTCCCCTGCCCTCAGTTTAACCCCTTCACCCTTCCCTATCTACAAAGGCTTTGTTTCCTTTTCTCATATTTATTCCTTCCCCTACCCCTCCCATGTCCCCTTCCCCTTTGAACATTTCCTTCCTATTTCACATTATCCATTATACTTTTTGATCCTTATTTACACCCTCAGTTTCTCATACCAGTGAAACCACTCAGTATTTACACATGTGTGTCCTATTTATTTCACTTAAGAGTATGGCCTCAATGTGCATCCATTTAGCCATAAATGTCTCTAGTTCAGCCACCTCATCTTTGACAAAGGAGTCAAGCAACCTCACTGGATGAAAGATAGCCTCTTTAATAAATGGTGCTGGAAAAATTGGGTTTCAACTTGCCAAAAATTAAAACTAGACCTATATCTCTTACCAGGCACTAAAC